CTGTAGATGTTTCACATTAAAAGCCTACCAGGAAAAGAGGGAAGCTAGCTGCTGGAAGACTTTTAATATGAAACATCTGTGCGGGAAGGTTTAATAAATACTTCTCTCATTCACTGATTACATGTCCATTTAGTGAATTTCTACAGAAGTGTATTGCATTTACCAAAGAAAACAAAATTGAGTGGTAATTTGTGTGCAATTTTGACTTTTTTAATTAAATATGTCATATTTAAGATATAAATCAACTAATCACAAGAAAACTGTCTCATAATCAGAACATCAGGAGAGCAAAATTGCTATCAGAAAAACAAATTAAAAAGTAATTGAAAAATACATCATTATTATTATTGTTGCTATTGTTATTGCTGTGCATCTTTGTCTCTGTCTTTGTCTCTTTACCCCCACACCCACTCCCCTCTCTCTCTCTCTAACCCCAACTGCTTGAGGTTTTTGCCTCTTATTTTGCCTCTAAATATTTCTTTGCAGTTAACTGCTGTTATTAATTTCATAAGGATTATGGTCAAGACCTGCTCTATTTGAAAAGTGTCCTTTGGTTACGAATTGACACTATAGAAAAAAACTGAATTGAATTAGCAAATTCCTTATCAGGTCACAGAATTGAGATGAGATTATTAGGAGATCTTCTCTTGTTATTATGAGATAATAAGTCATAATTATGACAGAGAAGTTCTAATTACTTTTTGGTCATTTTTGATGAATGCAATTTGCTTCCATACATTTCTGAATTTGGAAATGGGCCAAATGGACATGGAATTCTACTGGTTGAATCATCAGTACAATTTGTAATTTTATTGAACAACATGTTTTATCATCAGTACAAACAATAAGACATTGAAGTGAAAAATAAGACTCATTAATAACCACTCTAGATGAGAGCAGTGCAGAGAGAAACAAATTCTATTGCCATGTAACTAATGATGGAGTAAAGGTAGAGGTTGAGCTTTGGAATGGAGACAAATTAATTAGTTGATTTTGGCTCAAATATGGGTCAGTTGTAAGGATCTGATACATTGGGTTATCCAGCTCCAGATTTTATTGAGTAAATTTGAATTGAGTTGTTAGATAATTTGAATTGAGTTGTTTGATAATTCTGATTACTGATAAAATGATTAATACTTGAACTGTGTGTACATGATACATCCATTAAATAAGATAATTCACCTGTTTCTTTACTGTGATTTCTGATACATAGTTTTTCTGTATTTTAGTGTTGTTTGATACATTGGTCTGATACATGAGCAGCATTATGCATCCTTTCATCTGTGTTTCAGATACGTCGTGCCCTCCTGCAGCTGCTTTTTCCAGGGAGACCCTTCCACTGGCTCCGTCACATCACCATTGCTGTGTGTCTTCTGTTTGCTGTGAACCTGCTGGTCATCCTCGTTCCCAACATTCGAGACATCTTTGGCATTACTGGTGGGATATTAGACTTAGAAGCATTATGACAGCCTGACCCAAAAGGGGGGTTTGTAAAAATAAACATAGCTCCAGTGAAATCAAAATGTACGATAAAATTCTGTTGATGGATGAGATAGATGAGAAGAACAATTATATCACATTTTAAAATAATGGGGTCACTTGTTGGCAATGATATTCTGAACTTCTTAAATCTTGCCCTGGACAAATAAAATAAGAAAAACAACTAAAACCATCACTGGAAATACTAAACTGAAATGAGCAAACCCACTCTGGAAACTTAACAAAACAAAAATTGAAAAGAAAGGGGAAAAAACAACAATAATAGATACAATGATAGTTACCAGATGGTCATATATAACTGATTTACACTTTTTACACCAAACATTTTCTTTTCTGTGTTAAAAAAATCAGGACAAACCTGTAAGACCAGCTATATCTTTGACTTATCTTTATCTTAAAAAAGGGTTTACTCTGAATATATGTGATCTAGATTTTAAAATACCGGGCCATGGTGACCATACAAGGACTGAGGAAGTGCATTTAACAAATCAATGATCCAGGATTTTTTATTGTGCCTCCTTTGTGTCTAGGGGCAACCACTGCTCCCAGTCTGATCTTTATCCTTCCTGGACTGTTCTACATCCGCATTATCCCCACCAACCAGGAGCCCATGAACTCTAGACCAAAGATCCAGGTAGGTTCCTATCAGAGAGGGAAGAGACTCAACACAGAGTTAGTAGAAGTATAACCAACCCAATGAATATCAGCCAGGAGCACAGTGGGTCTAGTGAATATGTTGATGTATCTTCTTTGGTTTTCAGGCTGCATGTTTTACAGCATTGGGTTTCATATTCATGACCATGAGCCTGACATTCATTGGGCTTGACTGGACAAGTGGAGAAAAGCGAGGTCTCGGTGGCCATTAAAGTGCAACCCCCAGAACCTACAGCAACAGCAGCCCACTATTGTGCCCCTCCTCCAGTCCTCTGGAAGATTCAACCTACTGCTGGAAGGCTCATGGCTTCTGTGGGACTGTTTTTATTAATCATTTGGACAATCTGTTTCTCCAGCATGATGAGAGAAGCCCGGTTTTGTCCTATCACCCACCCAGGTTGATATATACCACCAGGATCCCTCACAGGTGGTGTCCCTCTTTTCTACATGAGAGCTGATGAACATGTTGACCCTGGAAGCCCCTCAACCACTACAAGCTATTAACCTTAACAGAGGGTAAATGTGGTGTATAATAACAGCGATATTAAAAGCCAATTGGAGATATGTCTAAATGCAAAAAGCATGTTTAATTATCAGTAACGTTCGATGCAAAATTGATTTGATATGTGCTTGATTAAACTGCTATTCAAAGACAGACACCATCAGTGTTTATCATTACAGTCCAATTATTTCTATTCCATAAATTCTACTTCCATCTGAGAGCCATACAACATGGGGTAACCGAACAAAGGCTTCGGATAATTCACTTCAATTTAAGTATGTGTATTGTAATTCTGTAAACTAGAAGACATAGCTAGCGTCCATCAGCCAAAGTCTCACATGAAGTTTATGCAACTGTGAACAAATTAATTTGGTATTTAATTAATTTGTGAATTTATTCTGGACAGCATATGTGGATATTTAATAAAATTTTACAACAGTTGAAACCTGTCTTATTTATTTTTGGCATACAACAAAAGCTATGCTTTTTAATCACAATTTAATGTTAAAAATAAAATGCTATTGTATAGGATTAAATATGCACTAAAATAAATTTAGTTTTAACTACAATAAACAATAATTTTGAATTTAATTTTATCAGGTAGCCATGTCTGCTGGATGTGTTGGAGAGTAACTGTTTGCGACTTCAAGCCTCATATACTGGGACTGTGTTTCAGTCCATTTGTCTTGGAATCTTTTTGCCCCCCAGTGCTCCAAAAATGCTCCGTGCAGAGTCCACATGTCAAATATATGGCATATGACAGCAGACAAGAGTGGCATACTATTTGTCATTTTTCAATCACTCTGTTCTAACTTGAACAGTAGGGCAGTATTGGGCAACAAAAGGGTAAGGCTTTGAGTTTACAATAATAAGAATTTGCCCAGTTCAGTGTAATTGGTGTCTGTACCCAGGATCAATAATTGATAAGCACATCCAAAAACACCTAACACCCTAAGGGATCCCTTTTCTATCATTGAGTAAAATTACAACCCTTGACTAAGTGCAGGGTTCCCACTCCTTTTAAGAAATAATTTTCCTGGATCTTTCAATTACATTTTCCAGGAGTTGTTATTGACATTTAAGGACAGGTAAGTGTTTAGTATTTATAGGACACTCTGTATTAGCTCACTTTTGGCTGTTTTCAGCACAGCTGATTTTTCTGCAGCGATCCATAAGTAACAGTTCAAATCAAGTAGTCAAATTTATAATATTTTGCAGACCTGATTAAGGAGCTAAAATACAATTTAAGATTTCCAGGCCTTCAATTCCAATTCCAAGTGTTTCCAAGACTGGAAAACTAGTCTCTGAATTTCCAGGTTTTCCAGGATGTGTAGAAAGCCGGTGTTTTATTTCATATTATATTCAGTGTGTAACGATAATAGTACAGAACAACTGATAAACTGTACAATTAACTGTAAGAAATTTTAAGTATTTTTTTGGGGCTTACGGCCTGAACACTGAAGACTACGACAGGAAAGGGGGGGGGGGGTAAGAAGGGATACACCAGCAAAGGGCACCAGGTTGGATTCGAACCCTGGGCCACTGCTTCGATACATGGGACGCCAGCTCTACCAACTGAGCTAACCGGGCACCCCTTATGGATGTTTTTAGGTAACTTTTTATAAAAGTCTGTCTGTATTATGTTTTCTTCTTCTATTTTATTAAACCATCATAGGTTTTTTGACACACTGTTTTCTTCTCCCTGACTATTAGCTCTGGTTATTTTAACTGTGTACATTTCTAATGCAGGGTGAGGCTGTTTAGCAGAGAATGAAGGCTCTGTGAATATGTGCAGCTATGTTCAGGTTTTCAAAGTAAATAATAATCTAATCTATAACTATAAAAACTATAAAAAAACAATTTCATTTGATATAGTCAACTGTGTATATATTGTTTTGTTTTATTAAACTCCTTAAAATCAAGAAGGACTTGCAAACCCCAGGTAAGGTTTTGGTGAACCCTCATTGGAGTCCTGTGCAGGTTAGGAACCGCTAATCAATATTGGTGTAGATAATATAGATGACAGTAGGTCCACTCAATGGAGGATTACAATAAGAGCTGCACTTTAAGTAAGGCATCTTTATTTAAGCTGGTATCATATATACAAGAATACCTTGCGGGTGGAGCTGGACAACATTCAAATGCCATTCACTCAACATATTCAGTTCAAATATCATGACAACGAAGGAACTGCTACTGTGTGAAAATGGTGGAATAATTCATGTATTAAAAATTCCAAGTCAAAGATTTGATTTTAATCAAGATATCTTACCAAAACATTTCATTACTAAGCAGTTTACATTCAAAGAGAAAAGATCTGACAGCACCCTCTGCTGTCCAGTGTGATGTTTTATTTGGGTACAGACTGATCTAACCAGTGCATGGACACTCAAAGAGCACATCCAGCTATAGAAATCAGTTTGAAATGAAAAAATAATTGTCATCTTCATCCATCCACAGGTTTTGAATTAAAATTCTAAGTTAGTTCCATGGTACAAATATCTGCTTGCCTTTCCAAAGAAAAGCAAGTCTTGTATGGCAACAGAGTGTGCTGATAATGTCTTCAGTGTGAAAACTGCAGCGCTGTTTAAGTACCATTCAAGTCCATCTATGGCTCCAGGTTTTTAACAACTTCTGCCTCAGCAGGCACAGTGGAGCAAGCCGGGGCTTCCCCTTCAGCCTTCTCTGACTTTGGCAGCAAGTGCAGAGTTCTCCTGTCGAATAGCCTTGTAGTCATCCAGAATCCTCTCCAGGTTAGCCACAGTTTTGTTACCATTTTCTGTCTCAATCTGAGGACAATTTAAGATGTAAAAATTTAACTGTTCTGTACACCTCTGACTGACACAACAGACAAGTATTTCACAAAATGTTAGAATGTATGATGGTGTAACAATAATAATTGAATCAATTAAACGGTAAATCCTACCTGTTCTTCTAAATCTCGAATCTCTCTCAAGATTGTACCGGTGTCCTCAATGGTTTGGATCAACTGATTACAGTTCTATAGAGGAATGCAGGATGGAAAGATGATACATTCTCTGATAAGAGCTATAGATTAAGATGAATAGGGTTGCCCCCCTAATGCGCACTGTTGTATGTGCGGTGCTATTACTGACTACCCAGACTGGGAGCTCGAAGGACAGGGAGAGTTTGTTTACAGTATTTGTGTAGGAGCCGGGGGACCCAGAGGGGGAATACTGTCAGGGAACGGGGACAGAATGAAAACTGGGCAAGTGCACAATGGAGGCCAGCTAACAGCGGCTCCAACCAGCACTCTGACTCCATGGACAATGAAGACATAGCAGGTACAGGAGAGCCATGAAACAGGAAAGAAGCAAGTTTCTAGCGAGTTAATTTATAAGTATACATCGTATCGATAAGTCTGCCAGTATTTCTTTGTTTAGTTTGACGTTTTTTATTCTGTGTTTTGAACAACTTGTGTAATGTTAAACTCTGCTGAAATAAATGAACTAAATGTTTAGAACCATTACCACTTTTTCCAGATATCATTTAACGGCTGTTAAAATATACATATTTAAATTATTTAATTAGTATAAAGGTGCGACAACCAGTGGATTATTGGCTAGCTAACGACTAACTGTCGACTAGGAAGATCTTTAGTCGGGGACAACCCTAAAGATGAAATTGAAGAAATTTAACAGAATGATGACATACTTCATGCAGGGCAGCCAGGTACTTGTAGGATTTGCGAACGGATTCATCTTTTTTGGCATCCTACAAATGACCATAAAACAACTAGTTAGTTCAAAAACACATAAAACAGCAACATTTACTTGCGTAATAAACTGAACTTCAATTTACTCCATGAAGACAAAAAAACTGTGTTATGACATTGGCTGTATTTTGGGATCGTTGTCCTGTTGCAGAATACATTTGGGGCCAATCATACACCTCCCTGACAGTATTGCATGATGGATAAGTATCTGCCTGTATTTCTCAGCATTGAGGACACCATTAATCCTGACCAAATCTCCAAC